CGTGATGATCAAGCTTTCGCAACTTTCTAAAGGAGTACTGTACACGATAAGATGGTACTTTCTCAAAACAAGTGTCCTCCATACTTCATGCGTATCAAGTTTATTGCGTCGACACCGGGGCCTATCAAACGTTTTGTTTCGTTTTTCAAATAGAAGTTCTTTTAAAATAACTATTGTTCCTAGTTTGTAAAAGACAGGTAAGCCTACCCCCCCCCCCCACTAGCCCCGGAAGAAAATGAACAGTAGCCTAATGTCATATTATTTTGGCAGCTGCTATTTGCTCTCAATAAAAAGCCAAGCATCTACACTATGCTCATATATCACGACCCGCATTAGTACGTCCAAACGGAGGGCAAACTCCAGTCTCTCCAGAGTCTGCTGCACTGTGCACCTTTCCCCGTTCCCTTCACTCGGCTCCAAATGCGTCAATTGGTGCACTCTCTAGTGAACCGGATGTACGTTAGGGTACACGATCTACCATATATCAAAATTAAGAGACTTTTATGCTTTTTGTTTGGAAAATGCCTCAATCTCCAAAATTACATCGATCGGTACTATGCTCCGCTGTGGTGCATATGTATACATTTGTACATATAAATTATATATACATAAATTATATCTATCTATCTATCTATCTATATATATATATATAAATTATATATATATACACACATATATATATACATATATATATGTGTGTGTGTGTGTGTGTGTGTGTGTGTGTGTGTGTGTATGTGTGTGTGTGTGTGTGTGTGTGTGTGTGTGTGTGTGTGTGTGTGTGTGTGTGTGTGTGTGTATAATATGATAGTGGTACAAATCACCTGTTTAAGGGACATTGTAGATCCTAAGTTGTTTCGAGGTTGATTTCTAAGGCTCGCTGTCCATTTGGCTTTCTCTTATCGGAGAAGGACGTTAAAGTTGGAGGTCTAGCTTATCAAATAGCTTTACAGAGTTAAAAGGGATGCTAAATCCGCATCATATTCAGTAAAAACATCCGAGTCTGAACCAACGTGTTTACCAGACGTTCTAAAAAAATGTCAGTTGTTGTAAAAAGAAGGATTAAACAGTCGCCAAGAGCTCTGCACAACATCATCGATCTGTGCATCTAAACGTATTGGGCATACGAGGTGAAGTCGAAATACGATATTTTAATGTACTTGTAGATGTTTTTATTCTCCCAGTGAAAACATTCAGCTCCTTTAGGAGGCAGACTTCTGACTCTGCCTGTCAGGGCCAATCCTGGTTGAGAAGGACGCGACATTCCAACAGAAAGACCGAGATACTCAAAAAAGGTTTCTCCTCACTCGAGAATCGAACTTGCCTAAACCGCTACACCACGGTACTGGGTCACAATATGTCTAGGGCAGAACTATCACAAATGTTGCATAACAATATTATATCTAGTTGTGGGTGGTTGGCGGGCGCTCTGGTGTGGTTTGTTCCTTCTTTCCTATCAAACATCTATCGTCCTTATCTCCCCTTCTTCTTTTTTATGTTTGCTACCCTCTTGTGGCACCTCTAATCTTCTGGCACTCATATTGAAAGATCTTGTCAGTTTGTTAGATCTAGTGTTTGAGCGCTTAATCAGCTGCTTGCACAGTATGCTTCCCGGGAAGCTGAAAATGTTTCAGAATGTTCTATGGTCTGCTGGGGTAATAATATAGTGTTAAGCGCATAGAGCCTGCTGTTGAGCGGGGATACGCGCAACACAAATGCTATTTATTTTTTAAATTATTATTATTATTATTATTATTATTATTATTATTATTATTATTATTATTATTATTATTATTTTATTATTATTATTATTATTATTATTATTATTATTATTATTATTATTAAACCTCTACTAATACTAAAACTATGTCTTGTTATTGGCGCTGACTACGCGGCAAGAGTTGGGGATACTGCCAGAGGTGGGACTTGCATCTGTGCAGGGCTATTCGCGCATGAGTACGCGCCCCTGTACGCTCGTGTAATGTGTGCGTGTGGGTATTTGTGTTCATCTATCTATCTATCTATCTATCTATCTATCTATCTATCTATCTATCTATCTATCTATCTATCTATCTATCTATCTATCTATCTATCTATCTATCTATCTATCTATCTATCTATCTATCTATCTATCTATCTATCTGTGCTTGTGTACGTATGTTTGTGCGCGTGTGAATGTGTGTGTGTGTGTGTGTGTGTGTGTGTGTGTGTGTGAGTGAGTGTATGTGTGTGTTTGTGTGTTTGTGTGTTTGTGTGTGTGTTTGTGTGTGTGAATGTGTGTGTGTGAATGTGTGTGTGTGAATGTGTGTGTGTGTGTGTGTGTGTGTGTGTGTGTGTGTGTGTGTGTCTGTGTGTGTGTGTGTGTGTGCGCGCGTGTGAAAATGTGTGTGAATGTGTGCGTGTGTGTGTGTGTGTGTGTGTGTGTGTGTGTGTGTGTGTGTGTGTGTGTGTGTGTGTGTGTGTGTGTGTGTGTGTGTGTGTGTGTGTAAGTGTGTGTGAGCGTGCGCGCTTGCACAGGCTCACTACCGCAAGCGAACCTATGATGACCGAAAGACAACAGTATGTCGAGATAACAGAAAG